CTAGATGTTAAGGCCAAAATTTAGATGTTAAGGCCAAAATTTGAATGTTAAGGCCAAAATTTGGATGTTAAGGCCAAAATTTGGATGTTAAGGGCAAAATTTGGATTTTAAGGCCAAAATTTGAATATCAAGGGAAAAGTTTGTTGTTGCAAATTGATCTCATCACATTATTCCTTAGGACTGCTGCTGGCTTTAGACTTAGAGGTTAGTGAAATGCACAATATTGTGGTTAGTGAAATGCACAATATTGAGGTTAGTGAAAATATAAGAAGTCTAGAAAATTTTTGTGGTTAGCAAAATCTACCTTGTTGGGGTTAGGCAAAGATCTCTTGAGGTTAGCAATTTAGCTTGTAAGGGTTAGTAGTGCGTCTCCTGTAGTCTGGCCGTAGAAAATTCCAACATAGACACTTCAATGACATCTGCAATTTGAAACGATTCACCGTTTTGAGCCGTGACTTCCAGTTTGATCCCATTGAATATGGCCCACACCAAACAAAAACAACAACAACAACAACAACAACAACAAACACCAACAACAACAACAACAACAACAACAACAACAACAACAACAACACGAACAACAACAACAACAAAAAGCAACAACAACATACAAACAAACACCAACAAAACACCAACAAAAACAAACACAACAACAACAACAACCACAACACACAACACAACAAACAACAACAAACAACACAACAACAACAACAACAACAAACAAACAACAACAACAACACAACAACAACAAAACAACAACACAACAACAACAAACAACAACAACAACAACAAAACAACAACAACAACAACAACAACAACAAACACCAACAACAACAACAACAACAACAACCCACATTATTAAGATTGCAGCATGCAGCACACGAAACACAAGTGGACGCAGCAATTAATCATCCATTGTTGCTACCAGTAGTACCGCACAAGGCGGTGGCGGAAGTTTCAAAAATAGGAAACCTATAGGTGAGATTGGTTGTTGTGAATCACGGATAGCAGAGCGAATCCACGGATGGACCGACCGGTGGTTGAGGTCTCATCTCTTTCTCTCTCTTTCGCTGACTATCTACGTGCCTACCTACCTACCTACCTACCTAGCTAGCTAGCTAGCTAGCTATCTATCTATCTCTCTCTCTCTCTTTCATCTAATTACCTACTGTATCTATCAATCAATTAATCAATCAATCAATCAATCAATCTATCAATCAATCTATCTATCTATCTATCTATCTCTCTCTCTCTCTCTCATCTGTGTATCTGTCTATCTGTCTATCTGTCTACCTGTCTACCTGTCTATCTGTCTATTTATCTGTCTATCTGTCTATCTGTCTATCTGTGTACCTGTCTATCTGTCTGTCTATTTATCTATCTATCTGTCTATCTGTGTACCTGTCTACCTGTCTATCTGTGGTGCAGTGTCATTCAGAGTAGTGTAGTGTAGTGGAATGTAGTGTAGTGTAGTGTACTGTAATTAATGTACTGTAGTGTAGCGCAGTGTAAATGTAGTACTAGAATAGTACTATGTCTCCACCCAAAACCCTCCCATACTATCTCCAAGGAAACCGGGGAGAATTTCCTCCAACCAATCAGCGGTGCACGCCCTACGCTACGCAAAGCCCTTATAGACCTTTCGACCATATAGTCCAAAACCGCCCATATATATATATATATTTATTTATTTATTTCTCGATGTGTGATGGCTCCAAAACAAGAATCAACAACATGTATGCAGATCGCAAGCGCTCTTGTTTTTGACACGTGGGGTTCAGCATCTTAAGTCAGTGTTGCGCCCGTACGGTCGGGTAGGCGTTGAAGACACAGAGTCAATCGGCCTCAATGGTAGGTAGATGTCCAAGTTGCTCCAAAGTATGGTGAAGTTGCAGTTGGGGGATGCAAAGCATCTGGTACTCGGTGCGCCGAAGCTGGGGTTCAATTCTGTCCAACAACCCCAAAGACATGTTGATCCATTCTTTGGCATCTGGCAAAATTTCAGGGACTGCGTCGGCAAGCACTTGTAAGGAGTGTCGACATTGAGTCAGTTTGGCTCGGAACTCAATAAGTGCTTCGTAGGGTGCCAGCAAAGATTGGAATGAGGCGGACATGAAGGCCAACGTACATGTGCAGGGAGCAATTGGAGAAAGAAATGAATGTAAGGTCACAAAATGCACAGTAAAAACTGGGATTACCACGTATAGGAAAAATGACATGCTTACTAGTCACACGACTAGGTTGGACATCACGCGATGTCAATGAAATGATGGTAAGTATGGAAGCAGACCGTGAAGAGTGCTAAAGCCAAAAGACGCAAGTCACATGACATGCAGCATGTCACTCGACATGAGACTTGAGGGTGGGACAAACGTAGTTGGGATGGGACGAAAGAAATGAATGGGGATGCACGCTCACTTGAGCAATACTGCAATCATCCATGAAATTTCAACACATGTTGAGACTGATCATCCCAATTGTTTTGGCCGTACTAATATGTATGTGTATATACATATATCCACATATATTAGTACTCCCATCTCTTATCAAGAAATAAAATTCGATCAAACGAGTTTGAGCTGCATCTTATTTCTCGATGTGTTATGGCTCCAAAACAAGAATCAACAACATGTATGCAGATCGCAAGCGCTCTTGTTTTTGACACGTGGGGTTCAGCATCTTAAGTCAGTCTCGCGCCCTCCCCCCTAGGATGGAGACTCGGGCTGGACTCTTCTTGGCATCTTTGCCAAGCTTCCATCAGAATTATCCTGGAACGTTTGACTCCATGATAATCAGGGATTTCTTCTCTTGAAAGTACGTCAGATGGGTTGGAGTAGCTGGGCACTCTCTCGAGCCAACACATCATGCTGAGGTTTTCCTCCAAGGTGCAAATCCCTTTGATGATCATGTCGATGTGCAAATTGTTGGATCTACATTTGACCAGAGAGGCTTGGGCGCTCAAGTTATCCGTGAAGACTACCAGTCTAGTGCCCCTCACCTTTTCCGCGAAAAGTTGGAGGCCGATAAAAATGGCAAGAGCCTCAAGTTCCAGTATTGGTGTCTTCTGGTCCGGTCTCATGATGGCGGAAAGCAGTCCTTGATCAATGACTTCACTAAAGCACACTCCGTGCGGATCTAGCACTAGGCCGCCAATGCCGGAGTAACCATCAGGCTCGAACGAGGCATCAACGTAAAGATGATACCAATCTTTAAAGTTTTTTCCCTTGAATCGGGTTCTCAAAATGAATCGGGTTCTCATAAGTCAGTCCTGCTTCCTAACAGCTCCACTACCATGTTTGACAAACTTTGCACAATCAGGCTTCCATGCTTGCCACGGCATGCTTGCACGTCGGGCAAGCAGTCTGTCTAGTTACTAGTCATCAGCCTCCTAGTTAAGGTTACAGACTTATTTTCTCTTTCACTAAGTTGCTCCTTGTGTCACGCAGACCTTTCTTGAACCAAATAAAACCGATATTTAATTAGTAGGCAGGATGCAATTCCAATGTTTTATCAAATCTGGGGGTCACGTGGCATGATACACACTGAAAATGGCAGAGGAGCCATGTGACGATGACGATGATGATGATGATGATGATGGTGGTGGTGGTGGTGATGGTGATGGCGATGATGATGTTGATTCGATGAATCCGTCGCGGTAGTACGTGTAGTTGTTCGGTGGAGAAGATTATGGTGGCGGTGGAAAATAATTTGCAAATTAGAGGCCGCAAAGTCGAAACGACCAAAACCAGAAATTTACTGTCCGTTTGCTGTCTTCCATCCTGCTCAGTTCTCACTACTGATTCCATTCGGTGAAAAAGGGTACGCCTAAGACAGGACAAGACTCCATACAACCCGACATCATTGCAAGCAAAAAATGCGCAACACGCGACACAACCCATCACACAAGCCCAAGTCAACGCGGCACAGTCACAACACAAAACACAGCACCCTACCATATGCAGGACCAAGACAAAACAAACCCGAGGAAGCGCATCGTTCACGCGTAAAAGAGGAAGCAAATACCGTTCCCGCTTGCAAACCGCACAACACCACACCACACTACACCATACAACGTAACATGATGCGCAACATTTATAAGCGGCAAGACTGGCAAAAAAAAGCGACGCACACGACAAATAGAATCTGCAAATTGCAAATTGCAAAGCTGCAAACATAGAATCGCAGGGTCGCAGCACGCCGCCTCACACTGATCTTCTTTTTTTTTCACCAAGGCTGTTTGTTCGGAATCCCACTACTCACGAGACTGCCCCTCAGCACTCAGCGTCGTGGGCGCAATCACTTTCCCAGTCACATGAAATCACGGCCGAATCATCAGTCTCTGAAGATTCAGAAGCCACTGTACGAACGGCAAGAATGCCTTCAGTAGGCCCAGCCGAAGTTCCATTGGGCACACATGTCAAGTCGTGAATGGTATGGAAGATGAGCCTCACATCTTGCAAGAAACGTGAGGAGGAAGGATACGGTTCATCAAAGGAATTCTCAAAACAAGACAGGTCACAAAAAATCAGCATGTCCACTGTGGAAAGGACTTTGCCAACCGAGCTCTGGATTTCACGGGCATCATCACAGTCTTTCAAAATGCCAAGGTAGCGGCACCGTGGATTGGGGTCCATTTCAGACTCGCTAATGTCGGGCAAATCATCCCATGAATTGGGCTGTGCTCCATTCAGGACCTTGGCCTGTTGAATGAAAACCCAAAGCTCTGCACAACTTCGCATGTAGAGGGACAACCCGACATGTTTTGCAATCAGCTTGATGAAGACCCCAAGAAATTCCACCTGGGCAGCCGCCGAAGGATTGAGTGACGGGTCGCGGTTTTCACAATACTTCTGGATAATACGCACCATCCGAACAGCGAACATAGCCAAGGACAAATTTCTTGTAAATTTCAACAGCGAGTCCTATAGCCAAGCCTGCAGTCATATTTAGCAGTGACAGCTGGAACGTTCAACATGTCAAACGCGAACAATTTCAGTGACCTCAAGTTTGGAAGTTTCAGATTGACTGAATGCTTTGCCTTCGGTTTTGGTTTTAAAAAACCCTACAAATGAGTTTTTGATTTTGTCCCGCATCTCAAGTGAAGCGCTTTGCAATTCACACGGGAGGAGCATGACAGCAAGTACTCTCTTTTTCACAGGACACCTGAGCAAACTGTTAAGTCCAGTCTCTCTAAATTTCACCGAGCCGAAGCGTTTTTTGTGAGCCTTCGGACTCAGACCCGTCATCCGCAGCCACATTGAGGTCAGGGGCAACTGCTCCTGAATCAGGACCTGCAATCTGCAAGGAATTTTCCACCAGACATCGCTAGACAGCATGCAGTGACAACGTCTTGAATCAGGCCAGGCACACCCACTGCGCGTTCAGCCTTGCACAAAAAGTGCACAACATTTTGAATGTTTGATTTGTTTTTTTCACAGCTTCAACCACCAGCAAATTAGAACAAACACTGAGGGACGTGCTGCTATGTCATGTGTCTTGTTTCGGTCAGAAGAGGAACCACTCACCTCCAGCAAAGTTTAAAAATACACATGACAGATGCTCTCACAAAATATGAATAAAAATTGAACATACACGGTGCTACCTCGTTTCGATAGGACATTGCAGACGTTGAGGGACTGTAGCCTGACAGCAGGAAGTTTGCCATCATGTCAAGAGTAACTCCAAGTCCGCAAAATTCAAATAGTCATGTTTTCACCAATACCCTGAAAACCAGGAAGTTCCTGAAAAATTCCTTGTCTTTCAAAACCTTTCTGCCGATTTGATGCTAATTTTCCCGGTTTATAGGTTTCAACAAACGCACCATTGAACCAGCCCCACACGCAGTGGAGAGTTGCTTCTTGTGGGATTCCTTTTGGAGTTCGGCCTCGGGCCAAAAGACAAATATAGACATGCTAAAATCAGAATGCCGTAAACTTTGTTTAACGAAGAAGCTGATACTTGAATCCAAGTGAAGGGCTACAAGCATTCGGCAATGCTCGACAGTTTCGCCTTCAAGTAAAGTTTTTCGGGCAATGGCCTTAACCGGCGAGAATCAACACTCAACACCAATCATTGAACATGTTCGAAGCTGCCTGGCTGAGAGGCGTGCTGCTACTTCACACATTTTTTTTGGGTCATAAGACGATCCACCCACCTTTCAAGAGTTTGAAGTTGGAAGATTAGATGCAGCTCATATAACGAAAAAAATCAACATGTCATCACTTCCAACCCTGCCTCAACAACATCCTTTCCATTCAGCTTGATTATCCAGCTGCAAGTTCGAGGAATGAAAATTGGCTCAGACACCACAGGCTCTGAGCGGTCACAGCCTGTCCATCAAACAATTTAGGAAAACTGCAACAATAAATCATTGGACTGAGCCTGCATGCTTCTTTGCTGCCGGGCATTCGCCATGGAGCTTCGCTGCGGGTCGCTTCATGACACAATGTGATCGCAGCTTGGCAAAAATCTGTCACCAGTGAACCAACCTAGTTTGCAAAATAGGGGCCAACCCTAAAGACTGACCATAGTTTTTCGTATGTTTGGTATCCCTTTTTGGGCAAACCAGCACGGTTCGAATGTCAAGTTGGCATCAAATGCCTGGTGACAACTGGCTTCACAAGTTGACCAAAAAATAGTGATTGACCAGTGATTTTTCCAATGTGATTCAAACTGACTGACACTGAGCAGTGTTTTTTCCGCAGCTCCAACAAGACGTGAAGGTAGCGTACTTTGACAAGCTCTGCAAATCAAATCTTCCTTCAGTCAACATCTTTCTCGTCCTTGATTGCAACTTCAGGATCATTTTCTTGGTTCTCTTCCTCGGCCATCTCAGCAGCAACACATTCCTCCTCTGGGTCGTGCGCCGATTCAGGTGGCGGAGCATCGGAAGCTGACGCAGCCTGCGACTTGCCTGGCTGCTCAGCCTCTTGGCCTGCGGGCATGCTGGACAGGACTCTGTTTTAGATTTGTTATGATGTTAAAAATCAAACCAGAAAGGCGAGGACAAGAGAGAAACCTCATGGTTTAACACGCCTTGGCTCTTGGCAACCAACTGTTCTTTCAGGCTGGCCTTAGTCTAGATTGGGTACCCTACTATAATAAGACTATTAGATATTGTGATCATACTAACACTGAGCGCATCACCTGCAGTTCGCGGCAAAAGCCCAAGTTATCGCCAGTGTTGAAGTGATTGTGGATAATACCCTTGGTTGGCATTAGTTAGAAAGTAGTTGTCCTTGTGGGCAATGGCTTGAAGCAGCGTAGTGAAGCAGCGTAGTGAACAAAATCCTGAGCCCTACGCGATCGCTTTCTCACTCTCTTCCTTCGGGATGAGCTTTCCGCCAATCTGCAGCGGCTGAACTAGACCAGGGGCCAGGCATGGCAGATTGATGACAAACATAATGTCAATCAAACAGATTTCTGATATTTTTTCTCTGTACAACGAGGCGGCACGCCTTCAAGATCTCCACATTGTTCAGCTTCACCCCCCAAATATTCGACCCCTTGTAGTAGTATGGGGCGCTCAGGGTGTCACTTTCGCCTGGCAAAAAAAGAAAACTGTGAAGTTAGTTGCAGACTGTTGAGTCGTTCAGACGTTCAGAATGTCATCTCCGACAGGTTTGATTCAAGTATTAGTTTTTTAGTGAACAAAGGACTTTGTGAGATTAGCTACACACTGTTGAATCGCTCAGAGTGCCATCTTGACCTGACAATAACAAAGGAATTTGTGAGGTTGGGTTAGTTACAAACTGTTGAATCGCTCAGGGTATCATCTTCACCTGACAGGTTTGATTCAAGTATTACAAACTACTTTGGGACACCTGTTGAATCTTTTTGCCCCAAGATTGGGCGCCTTTGACACGGGTTCCAGGAAGTTTGTCTGCAGCGGCGACTCTCTTTCCCTTTGCCTTTGCCTTGGCTTTGCCACATGCATTTTTCCCTTTCGCAGTCTTGGGGGTCTTGGGCGGGTCTTCTTCAGTGGTGTCAGGGCTTGCTGCAGGTTCTTCGGTTGCCGTTGCAGCTGCAGGTCGCTTCATCGGTGTTTGCTTTGTTTTGGTTGCACCTGTTTTGCTCTTTGCCTTGGGAGTCGATTTGGCCTTTGCCTTTGACTTTGGTTTCTTCGCTTTCGTTTCTTTGGGGGTGGGCTCATCAGAGTTTTCTCCATCTGCTTCCTCCTGGTCCTCCTCTTCTTTCTGCGGAGTGTCTGGAGTCACTTTCTTTGTTGGCGCTTTCGGCGTAGGCCGGGACTTGGTGGCTGAGGCCTTGCTGGAAGCTGGCCGTTTCAACGGTTTTGCAGGCACATCCTGAGCATGACAGGGTCAGGAGAGGCTACATGTCAGTGGGAAAAAACATAATAAGAACTTTACTTCGAGCGATCCTCGCCATGAAAGAAGACGAACACGTGGCATAATATACTTATGTCTGTAATATTTTCTTGGTATCTGCCCTGACATTAACATCTTTTACATAACAATACTGTCTGTTCTGACGTTTTTCAAAATTTGCTGGGCCCGTAGTCTGAGAGAAACCAAAAATAATGACTGCTTACGATCAACCATGAGAAGGAAACACGACTGTATGTAACGCATAGTTTGTGGGGTTGACTTCCAAATTTATATATATATATATAATGTGTATGTATATTCCATTTATATTATATATATATATATTATAATATATATATATATAGATAGATAGATATATTTTATAAAAAGTAAAAATTAAATTTTATATATGACATACATGATATATTATATATCATAAAAAATAATTTTATATACATTCTATATAATATATATTATGATATATATATATATAATAAGAATTTATATATATATAATATAATATATATTTATATGATATACAAACATAATATATAATATTTAATAAATATATAATGTAAAAATTATATTATAATATTGATATATTGTATATATATATATTTATATACATATATATACATATTTTAATATGCTTACTATACCTATTTTATCCGTGGAAAAAAGAACAGTGACAATTATGTTTAGAAGTATCAAACGGAATGAGTCAGGGAACAGAGAAGAAGATGAGAGCACCGGTAGAAAAGTCGCAATTCTGTAATTTTCCAAGGTTTTGTGGCTCCGGAGGCTAGGCAAGTAGGCTCGCTAAAGCAGCGGGTTCCGAGCCCCTGGTCGGAGAAGAAGTCAAAAATTGCACGCGGCTGGTGTGCGAAGGACCTTTCGAGCTCATAATGGAAAAACAGCACAGCTTCAGAGCACTGTGGAATCCACACTGTGGAAAGTTGAGCTGTTGAAAACTGCACAGCTGTGACACAAAGGGCATTTCGAGTCAAAATTTTAAAGGTTGACGCCGTCAACATGGTAGTATTTTTTTGAAAAAAAAGCCGCCTGTTTGCGTGACAGGAGCAGCACGTGGTAGGAAAATCACAAATAAGCATTGCGCGAAGCCGTCAGTTCTGTACTCAACTTTCTATTTTTCAACAGAGTCTCTTGCACATCCTTTTTGTGAGGAAGTCTCGAAGAAGATAGTAGAAAGGATCTTGTTAGGATGCACTTTGAAGGACGTATCGCACAATTGCTTCCGTTTGATGTAAATAACAATTAGAGAGAGAGAGAGAGAGATAGAGATAGAGAGAGATAGCGAGATATAGAGATAGATAGATCGATAGATTGACAGATCGATAGATCGACCGATCGATAGATATATAATTGATTGATTGATTGATAGACAATAGATTGGTCAATAGTAGATAGATAGATAATATTGAGAGATAGATGATAAATAGATAGAGATAGAGATAGACATAGGGATGGAGATAGAGATAGAGGTAGAGGTAGAGATACAGATGGAGAGAGACAGAAAGGGAGAGAGAGAGAGATCTATAGATAGATAGATAACAGACAGATCGATCGATAGAACGATAAATAGATAGTTTGATAAATAGAGAGGAGATAGTATCTAGAAATAGGTAGATTGACAGATAGATAGGTAGTAGGTAGACAATCAACAGATAGATAGTTGTTACATAGATATAGATAATAAATAGATAGATAGATGGATAGATAGATAGACAGATAGGCATACTAGGTAGGTAGGTAGGTAGACAGACAGACAGACGGACAGACGGACAGACGGACAGAGAGATAGATAAGATAAGATAAGATCAGGTAAGATAAGGTAAGATAAGATAAGATAGATAAAAGACAGTAGATGTAATAGAAGGAGAATAGTAATACATACTAGATGGATAGATCAAGTTTTTGGTATATTCATACTTGACAAGTTTTTGGTATATTCAGGGGGTCTGGGAGAGGCACACAAGGTCCGCGAGCTTTCTACGGTGCAAAAGAAGGAAAAGAAGAAAAAGAGGAGAAGGAAAAGAAGAAAGTGGCTGCGTGACATTGAAACCTAGAGACCCTAACTAAATAGGAATTATTGTCTGGGCCCGCCATTCCCAACAATTTGACTTCAAAGTTCTTCCGGTTCGGAGCCACTACCGCCCAATACAGCGGGAAGAATCTCTGCCATGGCAAGACGCTGGATCACTACAGCAACGAGTTTGCCAGCTGGACCGCAGGTCCAAGCTGCTGCGTTTGGAACCGCTCAGTGCATCAAAGTAGCCGGCACATTCAGAAATCCCACTTATCACACACTATTGACAGTCAATGTTTCAGACTTAGAGTTGAAACTATTCTGAACCGCATTGCCCTTTTTACTTTAAACTGAATGCTTTCTGGGTCGAAGGCCGTAGCCCAAGAAATCCTATATGAACTGCCAGCGTGGCTTGCAACGTTCAAGCCCAAGCAGCCACACTCGAAAAAACGTGAGTTTGCCAGGAGTGCCCAGGTCCACTGAAATCGAAATGGTGCCAGTGGTAAGCGGGGCTGGTGGTGACCCCTCGGAATGGAGTTTGACCCGAAGAAGATACCAACTTTTTAACAGTAGTGAGTAGCTATGGGGCCAAAATATAAATATATTATTTCACTTTAGCAAACACTGGGCACCACCAGCAATCTCACACAGTGACACGCCCCCATGTTTTAGGGGGAAGTCGCACTGTGCACGTGAGGTAGACCTTGGGTTTGATCGCCGAAACCCGAGGCGTCGAGGCCCCCGTCTGCATGGCCACCTGCTTGATTGTGGGGTTTCCAGATGGGTGGATTCCCTTTCCGAGTCATCACCATTCAAGTATTGTTCACGTTAATTTCGTGGAAATGGGACGCCAGTCTCGGCAGAACATCGGACAAACTGAGGACATGAGCACTTTTTCCATAATCAAAATGTTGTGAGCACAGTGTTTTTCAATAGTCAAAATGTTGTGAGGACATGAAGACTTCTCCCATAGTCTAAAAATGGCTTTGCTTGGTTTTACAGTGGCCAGAAATGAAGAGTCACGCCGGGCCTCCCACACCAACGAAACCGTCTTGTTGGTGCTCTGGCGCGGCAGACGGTCGAAGTTCCCGATCATGACTGCCCCAAGGGTCCATGGCTTGTGGCTCTCGTGGTCACAGTTTGCTCCCAACGGGTTCGGTTTGTAGCAGTTGGCCTTGAAGGATTCCAAAGGGGTGAGGTCATAACGGTACGGCACCGGAATGTCCTGCTGCTCCCCAGCTGCCGCGCCATCCGCAGCCTTGACCATGAGTGCGCTAGAACTTGATGACTTGCCCCAAAGATCCCTGTTAGCAAACTATTTGTAGACATCATACCGTAAAAGTTCTACCCCAAAGTAATTGGTTTGTGTAATTGATGAAGGTGGCTGTTTATTTCCAGTCATACAAACTCCATTGCCGGCCAATCATTGAATGCTGACCACTATGCCATTCTGCCATGCGGCACGGTATATGGATGAATATGAAATAATCAGAAATTGCATCACAGGAACCCAGTGTTTGGAGGACATTTGACGTAGGGGGATGACACTGGGCATACGTATAGCAAATTCAATCTTGTCATAACATTTCAATCATCCCAATACACCCTGCAATCCTTATAAACTTATGCTATAGATTTTTAATTTAACCCCATGTGATAATTCTATATAATACTATAATACTATGATAATAATTTCGGATATCCAATGTCTGACCCTAAAGAACTAATCTTCCTAATTACTTTACTTCGAGTGATCCCCACCTTGACATTTATACATTTTGTTACGGGCATATCTTCTGGCATTCTACCTGGCAGCATATCTTCTGTCATATCTTCATGGTGAAAATTATATAGATACCAGCAATTCCCTTTGCAAGCAAGCCATTGCGTTTTTCTTTTGGTCTGCGACGTTGCTAGCCGGTCTGCCGCTTCACTCCCGAATGTCACCTGGCGTCACCGCTTGCAGTTCAGGCTGCGAAACAAACATGCCAAGACAGTGGCAAACATGCCGCTTCCGAGCTCAGTGTGCACCAAACAAACACTTTCTGCCAATCTATGTGGCATATCTTCTGGCATTCGATCTGGCATTCTATCTGACATATCTTCTGGCATTCTATCTGGCAAACATTCTGAACTTTTTCTGGAATACCTTGTAGCATTCTATCTGGCATATCAGAACTCATTCTAGCTGGCATACCTTCTGGCATTTTATCTGGCATAACTTCTGGCATTTTATTTAACATTCTATCTGACGTTATATCTTGCTTTTCTTCCTATCTGACATGATATCTGGCGTTCCATCTGGCATATCTTCTGCAATTCTATCTGATATATCTTCTGGCATTCTATCTGGCATTCTATCTGGCATAGCTTCTGGCATTCTACCTGGCATATCTTCTGGCAGATGTTCTGGCATATCTTATGGCATTCCATCTGGCGTTCTATCTGGCATATCTTCTGGCATGCTATCTGATATTATATCTTCTGGCATTCTACCTGGCATATCTTCTGGCAGATCTTCTGGCAGATGTTCTGGCATATCTTCTGACATTCCATCTGGCATTCTACCTGGCATATGTTCTGGCATATCTTCTGGCATATCTTCTGGCATTCTATCTGGCAAACATTCTGGCACTTTATCTGGCATATCTTCTGGCATTATTCTATCTGACATTCTATCTGAATTCTATCTGACATTCTATCTGGCATATCTTCTGGCATTATATCTGGCCGTTGAGGTCCAGCGGTGCGCACTGAGCTGGGAAGGTCCCAGGTTGAGGTCCAGCGGTGCGCACTCAGCTCGGAAGGTCCCAGGTTGAGGTCCAGCGGTGCGCACTCAGCTCGGAAGGTCCCAGGTTGAGGTCCAGCGGTGCGCACTCAGCTCGGAAGGTCCCAGGTTGAGGTCCAGCGGTGCGCACTGAGCTGGGATGGTCCCAGGTTGAGGTCCACCGGTGCGCACTGAGCTCGGAAGTTGGCAAAGAGCTTGGCGAAGAGTTGGCAAGGCGGAAGTGGAGGTGGAAGTTGATGCAGACATGGTCGAGGAGAAACTGGAGGAGGAGGAGGCGGAGGAGGAGGAGGAGGAGAAGGATGAGGACAACAGCTCTGATAAAATCTAACAACCCTCACCTGGGCAGGTGGGGAACCCTTGCACCAAAAGTCAACCCATCTGCTACGGAATTCGGGGTGTGATCTCCTTATTAATTACCCACGACTCAAGTCATAAGATGGAAGTTAAGGAACAGTTCGGGTCTTGTTCTTGAGCTCATGATCAACAACACCCAAATCCGCGATGCCGCGATCTCGCGCTGCGCTGCAGAGAAGGGAGCAGATCGGCATGACCTTTTTCTCGTGTGCAATCAGAGACATGTCATCATCCAATCGCCAAGGGATCGTGTGCTTTTCCAGCGGTGCATTGCCTGACTTGAAGGTCGAAAACATCAAACTGGAAAATGGTTGAGGCTGACAAACTGATTATATCGTAATTGTTATTTGAAAAATGTTTCAACCATTTTTTGGATGACAAAACGGTTTCAGGCTCCAATCAAGGAGCTCTTGACGATTTTGATCTCATAGGCACCCGTGTAGAAGCCAAAGATGTCGCAGCAAGTCACAATCATTTCCTCCGAAGATGGATTGCCCAGGTAGATGTGGAAGTCTGTCGTGATCAGGACACTGGGCTTGCCATTCTTTCCAGGGCACAGCCCAAGCCTCACACAAAGAAATGTCGGTCCAAGCTGAAATAAAATCTAAACCTGTTCCAGATCCCAAGGATTGGTCCAAGCTGAAATAAATATCTACAACAACCTTTGCCTGAGATCAGTTTGCCCGAGACTCGAAGGATTGGTTCTGAAATAAAATCTAGGAGTTTGCCCGAGATTCGAAGGAAGGGTTCTGAAATAAAATCTCGAAGATTTCCCCGAGAGTCGAAGGAGGGGTTCTGAAATAATATCTTTGAAGTTTGGCACAAGATCCCACCTTCCCAAGCTGAAAAAAATCTTGTAAGGAGCTTTGCCTAGGATCCCAGCGAAAAAATTACTGACCTGGGAATAGGAGCCGTTCTTCGGAGAAATCATCATATGATGTCATCACGCTCAGCGAAACCTCCCGGGAAATGTCCAGCACCTCCACACCGGAAAAGTCTGGTGCACCTGCTGCTCTGCGCACCGTGGACCCAGTGCCAGTGCCAGCGCCACCTCCGTCTGATGGCCACAGCTCTTCCACTTTCTCCTTCAACTTAAGCAGCTCCGCACGATGGTCCGAATCCTCCGCGAACTTGGTCAGCAAAGTGGTTGGAAAGACTGGGCGCCCGTCCTGCCACAAGATGGTCCCCAAACGTGGCTCCTGGGTCGCCTCTCTTGGTCGGGTTTTTGGAGGCGCCGATGCCGAACCATCCCATGACTGGTAAACCATCTCTTCGATTGCTTCCACCACATCCTTTTGGCTGTCCCGCAAGACTGCAAGGTAATGCAAAGTGTACTTGGCGGTGGCTCGCTGGAGCTTCTTGAGAGCGAGCGATCTTCCGAATTCAGCATACCTGAAGGCCACAAGATAAATTCGTGGCTTGGAAAACTAGTGTATGAAACAATATGAACCAGCAGATGGTCCACTACATAACTCGGGACTTGTTTGGCAAATTTGAACCACCAAAACGTTGCACCAACAACGGGCCTGTTTGGCAAAAGGTCGACCACCAGAACCTTGCTAGAGGCCGGCGCGTCCAAATTCTTCAGGTAAGCGTCCAGGATGGCATCATGAACCGCAGGACCCTTCCTGATTCACAACACTGACTGGCAGACAGAAGAGTTCCAAACTTGAATCCCAAACGGGTTAGTTCGCATAGATCCAGCTCAATGACTTTCTGGAACATGTATGATGCAGCAGAGCAAAGAAGCTCACACGAAAACTTGAATGGCTGTTAACAAAACTAGGATCTGTTCCGCCCGGGCAGTAGCTCCTGGAGGACGGAGCTGATCCGAATCAAATCCCAGCATATCGCGGACACGGGCCAGCTGCACAGGACCAACGACTTGAGGAGACACCCACGTACACGAAGAAGGATCAGATGTCACGAACAAGCAATTCTGCACTCCGCCTCGCTTGTCGGACGCGTGTGATTCATCTGGTCTGCTGAAATGCAACGTCACGGTTTGGGATATGTCCAGCTTCTGATTCAGCATCACATTGTCTTCCACGACCCGACGGTGCTTGTACACAATCTGAGAGGATGTGTTCGTGTGGCATACAGGAAGTTGAACGTGCCCAACGTTCTGATTGCCCATGTTGACCAGCACGCCAAGAGCATCACATGCACTGCTGACCAGCTTGGCATTGGCCGGGTACACGGTCACATCCATGAGCACAAGGGCATACCTCAGCAAAATGGTGAAAGAAGAAAAACCTTCTTCAGCCAACGCAGCATTAAACCCTCTCATTGAACAAGCAAAAACCAAGAAATAAACCCAGGGCAATTCAACCTTACTGCTGAGGCTCACTTGGCAAGAACCGTCAGGCGTCTCCTGCAGTTTGGAAATCTGCTGGGCAATGTCCTTGACAAATCCTACCACGTTGTCGCTGTCCGTCACAATCAGCTTGCAATGCTCATCCATCCACGCTCTTGTGTGAGCTTGGCCCTTCCTAGCATTGGCGGCGATCAGCTCCGAAAAGCCAACAAAAACCATCATACAAACCAAATCCAAAAAACATTTCAACACGCAGTGATGCCAACCAACAGTTTCTTAAATCAACAATTGAGGGACATCTGACGTTCCTTCAAATACTTCAAGTCCTTCCCTGCTTCTTGAGCCTCTTTTTCCGCGGTGGGCACCAAACTCTTGAGAACTTCGATGTCACTCTCAAGCTTGGCTTTCACCTGGTTCAGCGTTGCGTCAGCAACACGTAGAGCCAGCTCACGTTCCTTTTCCTCAAGCTCAGCAGCATGCTTGGACTCGATGTCCTTGGAAATTGACCTGCACGTCAGCTGACTGACATTCAACACGGCCTTGATGGCGCCCAAATTGTTGAACAAAAACGTTAAACTCATAAATTCAAACATTAAGTTTTCAACTCCCATGCCTCAAGAAATTGACAGCCTCAAGACTTGCAGGTGGCACGGTCACTTGCAAAGCGTGATGAATTTCAGGATCCAATGCACCCGACATGAACTGCTGCCGCAAGGAAGCGTCATGGTTCTCAAACTCGGTCGAAGGGATCTTGTCTTTCAGTGCTCGCATGAATGCGAGGAAACCACCACAGGCTGCGTGCAAAGGAATCAACTCCTTGCTGCCGTAAGCTTTTCGCCCTGAAGTGTTCTGCTTGTCCCAGTCATTGCACATCCGCAAAATGACCAAGGTTGCCTCAGGCTACAAACAGCTGGTCCAGAGACAAAACCTCATCAAAACAGATTCATCTTTCACACCTGAGAAGCCCCAAACCAGTATATAAATATTTCAAACTAAACATCTACAAGCCGAGCAACGAGTTCGTCATCATCTTTGTTTGTCAGTTGATCATGCCACTGCTCAAAGGTTCCTGTCCCAGATGTCCAGGCTAAGTTGAACACCTCCTTCCCAATCGCCTCGTGGGTGAGAAACCCTTTCATTCCTCGTTTGCTAACCGCCTGCTTGAGCAAGCAAATCACTGGTCTGGAAATGTTTTTGGTCAGCTGAAGAATAGCTCCTGCTTCCTTTGGGCCAACCTTGTAAGCCCGTGCCACATCAGCAGCTGTCGACATAACCTCAGAGTCTTGAAGGATTGCATCCTTCACGTTGAAATGTGGGGGTGGCATGACAGACCTTGGGGGAATAATCAAAACCATCAGTGTTTGATCAGGAATGCTGAAGAGGCACTCTACTGGCCTCCTCAACAACGCCGGCCCTGTCCAAAACTTCCAACTGCCGGAGCATGTTAAAGCAAGTTGGAGGCCGGCGCACAGTGGCCGAAGCAGTAATTCCTGGCCAACAGCTAGCAAGCGTTGTCGTGAGCTAAAATGTTAGCACTATCATGCAATTGGAATCACATCGTTTGCCAGTCCTCTGGCTGCCAGCACTTGCGCAAGGACATGCTCATAGCGAGCAACAGTCCCATGGACCGCTTTCATGGAAGCCTGACAAGTTGCATGTTTCATGAACCCCGAATCCAATAGCATGGAAATCTGACTGGCAATCAAATATTTTTTTAACTAAATGATGAACCGAACCCTGAAGCTGAAAACTTGATTTCAAATACTGACGTTGCATTGTAGTGATGGTCGGCTGGTGACCTTGTAGTTCTGAGTGAGGTCTGCGAAGTCTAGGCGGAGCTCGCGGATTGCTTCTGCCACTATCAAACAAGTCACGCTCCTCCTCCACCCCTTCACGTAGGCCACAGAAAAAGGTGGCAATGTGTCACCTGTGCCGAGCCAAAAATAGAAACAGGAAGATGAACGGGGAAATCCAGAACCCCAGAAACCCCGGAGGCCCCCACTCAGACCCGGGCAAGAATCAGGCAAAGGGCCCAGCGCAGTGTAGCTCCCCTCCAGGAAGGCGCTGTCTGGGCTGGTCACTGACAGCTTCTCTACCCCTTGCATGGTGCCAGCATCGGTTCGGAACCTGAAAATGCCAAGGACCAGGAGATGAAATGCCGAACCGAACCTACACAAAACATTTGAACCTTGATCCTGCAAATTGACCAGCAACCCATTTAGGAGGATGAGCTCAGCAAGTTCGATCACCGTCTCTGGCTCAATGAGAGCACTGAGCCCGAAGTCTGCCCTCCAAGCCAAGTGGAATGGTCGAAGAATCTGAGGGCCCACTGACAGCTCCGCAGAATAGGAAAGCCTGCAAGGCTCTGATTTTTGTTGCAAGATCACGAAAGAGTGCACAACTGCAACCCCTCCTCAAACCAACCAAATCAATCCAGAACGCCTGTGGTCAGCTGGAAAAGCTTCGTTCAACCATGTTGCGAAAAGCATCTTGGACTCCTCAGAGCAAACGCCCCGGAACAAAATAGATACTATTTGGACTGACTGACTGACTGTTATAATAATATCAGAACTTAGCACAGAATCAAAACATGAACCGGCAAAACAAATGACCCGCCCCCAATCCTGCGTGGGATACCTATGCTCGAGGTATTTGTCGGGACCTCCTGCTGGAATGACAACATCACTCAGCCTCAGAAAAAGAGATCACAGGGTAATCAATTAAAGCGAAAAGCATTCAAAACACAAGCAAAAAAAAGGTCAATTGCAAGAACGAGGAATCTTCAACCGAAGAGCCAGGTTGTCACTTTGCCGATGTGCTCATACTTGGCTGAAATGGATTCCGAAGTCGGTTTCAAGGCTTTGGCCTTCACTGTAGATCCTGAACCACCTTGGCCTGACTTGCGCTTCACCATGGCGAACAAGACTGGAACCCTGAGTCGCCTGAACCACTGTCACACAAGCTGCGAATTCTAAGAATCAACTTGAATTCTCACAGCAAACCAACATCCTATTGCGAAATCCTAAATGACACGATGACACCCTGAAGATCATTGCAAACCTTTTTTGCGAGGCAATGAGCAAACGGTCGCGTTTCAAAATCGTGCACCGGGCACCAGGCTAGTAACGGCTAGTACACACCTGGCTACTGCAGCTAATGACTAACACGGGGTCTTTTGAAGGCTTGTGAACGGGAGTATGAAAAGAACAGTCAAAATTTCACAACTGCAACTGAAATCAGGTTGCTACCTGTGAAGCGCAACATTTTTCACCGCTGATCTCCAAACTTCTTTGGTGAAAAAGGATCTCACAACATGCGTGTTCTGGAATGATGTCAGGATCTGTCGAGCTGCAAGGTTGACAAATGGATCATCTCCAAAATTCTCCGATGAAAAAGCCTTGATCTCACAACAGGCGTGATCTGGAAGTGTCGGGTTTCAAGTGGATCGAGATTTTTCCAAATTGACCCATACCACACAGCCGCGCTTTGCATGAAGCTCCACGGGTGTCGCAAACTCCACAGGGTCTTTGAGCACCCAAGCGTAAACCGTTTCATATGAAGAAAGGATAGGAAACTCTCTCAAACTTGTGATCTGGTGATTCTGCAAATGTCGCTTCAAAAACAGGAAATTGGATGGAGCCTCCACTGGCGCGGACAAGAACCCTTCACGTTTACGGCCAACCACTATGCAATCCGACAAAGTAGCTTCTCCAAGCTGCAAAGCTGTTCCTGTCGGTGACGTTTTCGCCGTTGTGGCTATTACGATGCGACCACGCTTTTTGCAAGGTTTGTTTCGAATTTCCCAACATTTTCCAGACCGAAGGATTTTCAAACACCAGCTATGGTCTATCAGCAGAGCTGACTTCCCCATGGCACAGGAAAGGGATTGACTGGCAATTTCCAGTTCCAGGTTTTCCGAAAACAAATTACCTTAATAATTGAGATGGAGCAACTTGCCAAATCGTTGCGAAAAAGTAAATTTGCGATAAGAATTCGTGTCTATTTTGCAGGATCCCTGCAGCCACTGTTTGCAAACGTCTAGAACCAACTCGAGCCACAAGAGCTTTCATCTAGTAGTCACGCATGTGCTCTTGAGATTTCTAAGAAGGGGGCATTGCTGGAATCTCTCATTTGTGACGGATCCGGGATGGATCCATCACAAAATGGTGGAATCGTTCATTTTGTGACGGATCCGGGATGGATCCGTCACAAAATGGTGGAATCGTTCATTTTGTGACGGATCCGGGATGGATCCGTCACAAAATGGTGGAATCGTTCATTTTGTGACGGATCCGGGATGGATCCGTCACAAAATGGTGAAATCTTTCATTTTGTGACGGATCCGGGATGGATCCGTCACAAAATGGTGGAATCGTTCATTTTGTAACGGATCCGGGATGGATCCGTCACAAAATGGTGGAATCGTTCATTTTGTGACGGATCCGGGATGGATCCGTCACAAAATGGTGGAATCTGTCATTTTGTGACGGATCCGGGATGGATCCGTCACAAAATGGTGAAATCTTTCATTTTGTGACGGATCCGGGATGGATCCGTCACAAAATGGTGGAATCGTTCATTTTGTGACGGATCCGGGATGGATCCGTCACAAAATGGTGGAATCTTTCATTTTGTGACGGATCCGGGATGGATCCGTCACAAAATGGTGGAATCTTTCATTTTGTGACGGATCCGGGATGGATCCGTCACAAAATGGTGGAATCTTTCATTTTGTGACGGATCCGGGATGGATCCGTCACAAAATCGTGGAATCTTTCATTTTGTGACGGATCCGGGATGGATCTGTCACAAAATTTTCAAATCGCTCATTTTGTGACGGATCCAGCCCCAGATCCGTCACAAAAATCTGAACCCCATTTTGTGACGGATCCAGCTCCGGATCCGTCACAAAATTTTCAAATCGCTCATTTTGTGACGGATCCAGCCCCAGATCCGTCACAAAATTCTGAATGCCATTTTGTGACGGATCCGGCCCCGGATCCGTCACAAAATTCTGAACCCCATTTTGTGATGGATCCAGCCCCTGATCCGTCACAAAATTCTGAATCCCATTTTGTGACGGATCCGGCCCCAGATCCGTCACAAACGGGGAATCTGTCACAAACCGCAAGTTGCCATCCGTGCCTGAACCATGGAACTGTCAGCCGGCAAGCCGTCACAAAGTGGCCTGTCAGATTGATTGGCTGTTTTGTGATGGATCCGGGGCCGGATCCGTCACAAAAGCTGCCCCTACCTGTTGGCACACTAAATCGCAACATCGGCTTTTACGCTTGGGATGGTGGTGGCAGGGGCATTTTGTGATGGATCCGGCCCCGGATCCATCACAAAATGAGACCCTGTGCTGCAACCGAAAATCATTGATTCGCTCCCTGAAAATCCCCCCTTAATGTCCATGCCGCACCCAATTTTTTTTGATTTTTGAAAACCAGGGTGTCAAAAGTGGCTAAAAGCTGTTTTTTTGTTATTTGGAAAATTAGCAAAGTATTGGCACCGCGCAGTAAAATCAAAAAATTTGGCCGATGTCAAAAACTAAGAATGACAGCCTGAGACATCCAGATTTGGCACTTTGATGAGGAAAAACCACATTTTGTCAATAGAGGAATCTGAAACCAATTGACTAGCACGAAAATTGTGCGCAGCGCCTCCCATTCAGTCTATGGCAACCTTGATCAATGTCAGCCTCCGAGCGCCATGGGACAAGAAGCACTGCACAAGGTAATTTTAAATTAAAGCACCTGTGGTGTTGGTGCAGTTGCATCTCAAACATTACATTCAACAACCCACAAAGGGCACCATTGAAACACACAAGCGTCACAATTGCACAGCGTTTTGAACCTGTGTGCCATGTGCATGGTTGTCGAATTACGAACCTGGCTGCAGCTCACATGTCGAATTACAATTACCAGCCAGAGCCGGCATCGCATCAGAAAAGGTCACCCGCCATCATCCTGGCAATGACGGCCAGCCCTAAGCAAGCCTGGCGAGGGACAACTACATTGCCCAGTGTGTCCATACGTTCCTTGTTGCACCTTTCTAGGGTGAGCCACTCTGACATTGGCACTCCATTGCATGGGTTCCAGCCAGAGCTCACGAAGTGGTCGATCTTTGGTCCCTGGCAGCAAAAACACGCGTTGCAATGATGATTACAGGAAACAACTGCGATCACGGAAGCCCTGAAACCAAAGCGCGAGAGGAATTATATTTTGTTTCAGACACCAATTTCCCACTGACGCTTGAAAAATGACAACAGAAACATAGAGAAAGAGGAAGCGGATTACTATTAATATAGGTCAGTCAGCACAATCTTGACTGACCAGAAGATTTGAATAGTAGCCAAAAGAATCCAGCTACCTTCGCAAAGTCAAATCTTGAAGATACCATTTGAAAATCATTTTTAGACCTGAGCTCCTTGCCAAGCACTTATCGAAGACTGCTTGGGCCCCAAAAGATTGCAACTTGGAGGAAATGCCAAACTTCGGCTCCAGGGCTGACTGAACAGCAATAGTTTTCGGCCAGGCCGAGACGACTAATTTGGAAGTTTCTCTTCACACTTATCTAATATATGACGTAGCAATCTACTAGAAACTGCCTCTTCATGGGTTTCTTGGAAGTTTGACGTGTCTTAATGGTGAAACTGAACATTTCTGCAGACCCCTCAAATCCTCGTCGAGCATGGTCCCAAAAGATTGTCAAATTTGAATTCAGCAATCAATCGATAGTCTGTGGCAGATGTCTTGCCTCTACTTAGCCTGGCAAACTTCCACATTGGGTTGGTCTCCCCGAAAGAAAAACACAAGTTACAGAACTGTTATCAACTTGTGGGGAAGACATTGTATTTTGGTGATGTGTGGCCTTTTGTGGGGGAGACCAACCCAATGTAGAAAACTAGCAACATTAGCCACACTCACACATACAATAATAAATCGCACGAATCAGATTTGGCTATCTAATGTTTGGGATAGACCAAGAACATAAGGACTGTGTCTTGGTGTCCCCCAGTCTCATCAACAAATGATGGCTCCCTACAAATCTTTTTTCAGGAGATACTAGCATGACACGGGTTCAGCACGAAGAGTCGGCTGCT